CTGCCCTATCCTGTGCCGTCCTCACTCTTCCTGACATACAAGAGCCCATTGCTGCAGTCACCGTGTCAAACCACCTGGTCCTTTGCCGACCACGCACTCTTCCCAGCATCATGTCCCTCTCCAAGGAATAGCCTCTCCTGGCAACATGCCCAAAGTATGTGAGGCGCAGCCTTACCATTCTTGCTTCCAAAGACCTCTCCAGCTAACCTCTCTCCAAGACATATCTGTTTGTTCTCTTGGCCACCATGGGATGCTCTGTATTCTCCAACACCGCAGCTCAAGGCATCAATTTTTCTTCTGTTACCCTTATTAATTGTCCAGCTTTCAGATGCATAGCAGGTGATCTGAAAGACCATAGGCTGAATCAAACACACCTTAGTCCGCAAACTGACATTATTACTACTCAGTAATTCAGAGAGATCCCTAATTGCAGATTTTCCCAGTGCAATGTGTCTCCTTATTTCCTGACAGCTGGTACTAAGAGTGTTAATTGTGGATCCAAGCAAGGTGAAGCTGTTGACAGTTTTGGTCTCCTCTCCATCCATCATGATGTTGCCTATCAGTCCAGTGATAAGAATCTTTGTTTTCTTGACATTGAGATGAAATCCATAGCGAAGGCTGCATTCCTTAATCTTCTGCAACAAGTGTTTCAAGCCCTCCTCACTTTCAGCAAACAAGTTGTGTCATCTGCAAAAGCAGCTTATTGATAAGTCTCCCTCCAAACCCAATACCACACTCCTCTTCATAGAGTCCAGCTACTTGAATAATTTGCTCAGAATATAGATTAAATAGGTCTGGAGAAAGAATACAACCCTGACACACTCTCTTCTTAATTTTAAGCCATGCAGTGTCCCCCCGCTCTGTCCAGACAACAGCCTCCTGGTCCAGGTATAGGTTCCACATGAGCACAATTAATGTCAGCCAGAATTTGTCATGATCTACAGCCTTTACATAATTAGTAAAGCACAAATGGACATTCTTCCTGTATTCTCTACTTTCAGCCAGGATCCATCTGACATCAGCAATGATATCCCTGGTGCCAAGGCCATTCTAAATCCTGCCTGAACTTCTGGTAGTTCCCTATCTATATACTGCTCTAGCCTTTTTTTAATGATTTTCAGCAATATTTTGCTTGCATGTGAATCAATTATATTGTTTGATAGTTTCCACATTTAGTTGGATCACCTTTCTTGGGAATGGGAACAAATATGGATCTCTTCCAATCTCTTGGCCAAACAGGTGTCCTCCATATCTCCTGCCATAGACTAGTGAGTTTATCCAAGGCTGCATCTGTTAATTGAAACAAGTCGGTTGGTATCCCATCGGTTCCTGGGGCCTGATTTTTTTTTGCCAGTCCCTTCAATGCAGCTTCCACGTCCTCTTTCATTACCATTAACCGCTGTTCATATGGTATTTCCTGAAATTTTTCAGTGCCAATCAGTTCTTTCTGGTACAGTGATTCTGTATATTCCGTCCATCTTCTTTTGATGCTTTCTGGGTCATTCAATATACTGCCCATAGCATCCTTCAATATGCTTCTTAAATAACAGGCCTTTGAAACCCCTACAGACAGTAGAGGAATGAGAATAGTTACAGTAGTGTAGCGGTAGAGTCCAGCTTGGAAGTCAGATGAGATGAGAGAGAAAACAAACATTGTCTAATAATTGGAACATGGAATGTATGTAGCTTGAATGCTGGGAAGCTGGTTATTGTTTAAAATGAAATGGAATGCATGAATATCAACATACCAGGCTTTAGTGAGATGAGCTGGACCAGCTTTGGCCACTTTGAATCAGATGATCACATGTATATTATGCAGGGAATAAAAAAATAGAAGAATAATGTTGCATTCCTCGTCAAAAAGACAATTTCAAGTTTTATTCTGAAATACAATGTTGTGCCAATACACATACAAGGAAGACCCATTAGCATGACTATTATTCAAATATATGAGTCTACATCTGGAGACAAAGAAAAATAAACTGATAATTTTTACCAAATCTTGCAGTTCACAATTAACCAAACATACAATCAAGATGTGTTAAAACTAATTCTGAGTGGAATGTAAAAGCAGGAAACAGTGAAGAAGGAATAGTAGTAGGAAAACATGGGCTTGGTGACAGAAATGGGGCTGGAAGTAGAAGACTGAATCTTGTATTTACAATGATTTCTTCATTGCAAATACCCTTATTAAAAGACAAACGACAATTTTACGCATGATGGGCTGCTTAGGAATCAGACTGACTACATTTGTGAATAAAATCATTGGAGAAGCTCATTATCAGCAGTCAAAACTAGGCCACGGGCGGACTGGGGGTTAGACCATCAATTACTCTTATGCAAGTAAAATTGAGGCTGGAGAAAAAATAAGTCCACTGGAGCCAAGATTTGATCTTGAATCAATTCCATCTGAATTTCCAGATTATTTCAGGAATGGATTTAATCATTGAACACTAATAATCAAAGACCAGATAAGTTGTGGGATGATATCAAGGATATCATCCATGAAGAAAGCAAAAGGTCATTACCGTTAGATAGAAAAAGAGTTGGAGGCAAGAGAAATAAAGAAACTGGTCCCAAGAAACGAACAGGCCTTGATTGCATGGTCTGAAAGGGATGCCAAGTGACCAGGAGCGGAGAAAGTCAGAATGGCACGCTGCAATTAGGGGCAGTTTCTTTTTATAGAGGTTGGGGAGGGCTAAGGAAGATGGTACCTCTCGGAGCTTGGGGCTTTCATGATCAGGCCCAGAGCCACCTCATGGTTTATTATTTGGTCTGGTCTTTGTCCTGGCTGCTTTTGGCACCGTCAGGTTTCTCAGGGAGTGATCAGGCCTGGGGGACAACTGCTTTATTTTTCCTGAATTACAAAAACGGAGGAGAAAGAAAAAACTGAAATGGATGTCAGAAGAGACTCTAAAACTTGCACTGGAGTGTTGAGAAGTCAAAGCAAAAAGAAAACATGCCAAAGTAAAAGAGCTGAACAGAAGAGTTCACGGAGCAGCTTGGGAGGAGAAAGCAAAGTATTAGACTGGAGTTGGAGAATTAAAAGGGAAGAACTCACTCTGCATTTCTCAAGCTAAAGGAACTGAAAAGCAAATTTCAAGTCTCAAAATTGAAAGATGCTGTGGGCAATACATTGAATGACTATGTAAAGGGATTATGTCACAATAGAAGGGTGACTGGTGGTGGGGAGATGGGGAGAACTGTGAACACTACGGAGCATCCGGATAAAGGATGATCAGCCTAGAACAAATCCATCAAACAACAATACGGCTGTTGTACTTAGAACTTGGAATAGGCGACGTATAACTTCAAAAGGGAGCAGGAAGAAGGAGAGGAAGACAGGCAAGGGGCCGCAGGGATCAGGGGATGGGTGGGGGTAAGGAATAGGCAAGGAGACGTGGGGATTTGATGAGACGGGGTGGTAAAAGGTATTATCAATTGTAACTGATATTATAAGCAATTTATATGAATTATCATATGAAAACCAATTTATACACACACACGTGCACCTGAGTCAAGTCACCATATTGTTTATTGCTTTGTTTACATGTGAAACTTGGACAATGACTAAGGAAAACTGAGAATGAATTGATGCCTGTGAACTGTGGCACTGGTGAATTTTCGTATCCCATGGACGGCCAAAAGAACAAACAAAACTCTTGGAGGATGGAGATCCAGATTGCTCCTTAGAGGAAAGAATAATGAGGCTTCATCACAGACTTCGGGCGTGTGTCAGGAGAGGTCAGCATCGTGATAAAGGGAGAAAAGACTGAAGTTGTGGAAGATGTCCTTTTACTCAACACCTGAGGAAGCAGAATTCAAAAGACCAATGATGTATTGCGTCGGGCAAATCTCCAGCAAAGGACCTCTTTAAAGTGTTCAAGAGCAAAGATGTTACTTTGAGGAGTGAGGTGCACACTAGACCTGAACATGGTAGTTCCAGCTGTCTCATCTGATCGCAAAACTTGGACAATGAATAAAGAGTGTTGGAGAAGAATCCAGGTCTTCAAATTACGATGTTGACAAAGTATATTGAATACATCGCAGACTCCCAGAAGAAGAAACACGTCTTTCTGAGAAGGGGTCCTGCCAGAATGCTCCACAGAAGAAAGGATGGCAGGACTCTTTCTCACGTATTGAGGGCAGGTTATCAGAAGGGACCAGACCCTGGAGAAGAATATCATGCTTGGTAACATCATTGTTGCTGTTGGGTGCTGTTGTGTCATGTATGACTCATAGTGACCTGATGAACCCTGTCCTGTCTGCACCACACTCATCCTCTCGAGTCCACTGTGGCTGTCACTCTGTCATCCGTCTCATTGGGGGTCACCCTCTTTTTTGCTAAACCTCCACCTTTTCAAGCATGATGCCCCCTTTCAAGGGTCAGAAAACCCAAAACTCTGAAGACCCTCAAGGAGAAGTGCTGATGCAGGGCTACAGCCTTGGACCCCACCAGCACGATGCGAGCGTGGTTCAGGGCCAGGCAGGGTTTGTGCTGAACGACAGGGGAACTAGAACTTAAACCTGGCTAACGAGAGCCACAACCATCTGGAAGTCTTTGTGGAATCCGTTAGCTCGTGGGATGCAGAGACATGGGTCAGCCCGTGGGTTCCCTACATCCGGGTCACTGTGTGGACCGTTCTCACCACTTCCACCCCTCTGTGCTTTGCAGATACCGGTACCCAGGGTGCAAGTTGGGGGTACCAGTCCTCCTCACTAATGGGGAAACTGAGGCCCAACAAGTGCAGGGCCCTGCAGTCCCCCAGGGCTGGGGCTTCTATCCGTCCAAGCCCAGAGCCCAGCAGCCTTCTGTGTGTGCTACACTGGCAATGCCACCGGAACAGGCCTGAGGGAGCAGCACTGTGGTGGACGGACTGTGGCCCCTGGGTGCTCTCGGAGCTCCCAACTGGACCTCACATACAGGAGGGGTACGTGGCCCCTGAGGCTGCACAAAGGGGACAGTGGGCTCCTAATGGCCAAAGCTCCTCTCTTCACAGGGGCCAGGCCCCGACCGCCGGCTCCGCAAGGCCAGCGACCAGCCGTCCGGCCACAGCCAGACCACCGAGAGCAGCGGCTCCACGCCCGAGTCCTGCCCCGAACTCTCAGACGAGGAGGAGGAGGAGAAGGACGGCCAGTCTGCTCCCGGTGAGCCTGTCTGGGGTGATCCAGTGGGGAGGGGCAGTAAGCAGGGAGCATCACACCTTGACCGCCAGCCCTGTGGGATGGGAGGACCCAGGATGTACCTTGCCAGGTGTGGGCTAGACCAGACAGCATGTTCCTCCCACCATGCCTCTGTCGCCTCCCAGCACCGCCAGGGGCCCTGCCTATCCCAGCCTCCAGAGTAGAGAGGGGAAACACCCAGGTGAAGCACCCCCAAATCCTGCTCCGGTGAGGTCACCTTCCTCACTGGCAGGTGCTGGGGGAGAGGCAGAGTGGCAACCTTGTCTGCACCCCTCTGGGCATCTGTGTTTCTGCCCCGGGGCCCCTGTCCATCCCTCGACCACCATCTCCCCAACTAGCTTTGTCAGAAAGATTCTCATGAGGTGGGTAGGGGTGAGCCCCATGGACCCCTAATGCCCCTCTGCCAGACCCTGGCCCCCAGTTCACCTCTGCCCATTCTTTGTCTGGCTCAGGCATAGGGAGCCCATGTCCACGGTGCAGGAAGGAGGCCCGACGGCTGCAGGCACTACACGAGGCTGTACTGTCCGTCCGGGAGGCCCAGCAGGAACTGCACAGGTGAGGAGGCGTCGGGACGCTCCCCATTCACACCCAGGGCTGGGGGCACAGAGGTTAGGAGAGAGCTGGCAGAAGGCAAGGCCCAAGACTAGGGCACCTGGAATGTACTCCCCAACCGAGGTAAGGCTCAGGCTTAGAAACCTAGAGTTAGGATGGGGCTGCAGGCCCGGGGTCCCATGCACCAGCAGGGCTGTGAAGGGTGAAGAGGGAAAGGAAGGATGTGGTCTGTCCTCACTCAGGGTAACATAGGGTAAGGCCTGCTGGGCAGACGACGGCGCCCTGGAACACCTGCCTCGCAGGAGCTCTTACCCCTGAGCTGGCTCCTAGGCAGGCAGCTGGGTGATTGAGCCCTGAGCCGGGCCGAGGGAGCCCTGAGAGACAGACACCCCCCGAGCACAGGGAGTCAGGTAGAAGCCCAGAGAGGACAGCGTGTGGGCCCCCTTGGCCCCAGGTCCCTCTTACTGTTGCGGCCCTGGTAGGGTCTTGAGGATGGCAGGATGTGGGGCTGGCTCTGTGACCCCTCCAGTGACCCCGAGGTGGGTCAGAGCAGACCTCACTCAGGCTTACACTCGAAACCAGGCTCCTGGCATTTGATCAGGACGCGAGCTTCTGGCCATGGGGCCTCATGCCAGGTATCCCTGCCTCAGTCTCCCCACCTGCAGCATGGAGATGACCGCGGAGATGGCTGGGCTCTGCCAGGGCCCAGTGACAGTATCCCTGTGGTCCCATCTGACCTCTGGAAGAGCAGCAAGCACTTCGTGGCATCTGGGTCAGGATGGTAGCCCAGCAGGAAAGCCAGGGCAGAGAGCAGAGACACAGGGTGGCCTGGAGGAGGGCCACAGGTGGTCAGGAAGGGCTTCCTGGAGGAGAAGAGGGGACGACCCAGAGGGCAGATATCCCTGCTGTCCACCCTCCACCCCAGGTACCAGGCACCTAAGAAGCAGGAGAGGAGGGTGGGTGCTGGTACAACCCTGGCCATTTTGCAGGCACCTCTCGGCCATGCTGAGCTGCACCCGTCGGGCCTCCCCTCCGTCAGCCCCCGCCGTCCTGCAGAGTCCCCGCTCCTGGGTCCTGCTCTGCGTCCTCCTGGCCTGTCAGCTGCTCATCAACACCGTCCTCAAATGAGAGCCTGGCCCAGTGACACCTGTCGTCCGGCCCCAGCCCCTCCCAGGCACCAGCACTTTACCAGCCCCGGAGGCCGAGGCCCTCAGCGGGCTGTGGACAGGCGCACAGCTGGGGATGGCCCCACAGTCAGTGGGCCCCCCTGCCGCCCAGAACCTCCGCCCAGCCTTAATGCTAAAGCCAAATGCAGCTCTGACCGCGCTGGTCCCGTCGTGGGTCTGCCTTGCTGTTTGTGGTCCAGCCCTCTCACCAAGCAGGACGATGGACATCTGAGTGGCCTGGCCAGGTGGGCAGTCGCCCCAGGAGCAGAGTGCACAGAGGAGTAGCCTCGGGTGACCCCAGGGGTGTCCCGGCGGAGGAGGTGGTGCCAGGCTGCCCTGGGGAGGTTTGGCCTTAGCCTCTGGGCCTGCCAGCGTGCCCTGGTGAGCCCTCCCCTCCATCCTCTAGCCTGGACCAGCGAGTGCCCCGCGGCTGGGAGTGGGGGTCTCAGAGGCTCCCACTTGCAACTCTGCAGGGGCAAAACACAGTCTTCCTGTTTGACACTTTTGTAATAAATATCATCGTAGCATATTGTGCCTCCGCGTGTGGCTCCGTGCCTGCGTCTGTGCACCTGTGGGCTCTTGGCCACACCTGCGTGTACGCGCGCTCGTGTGTGTGTGTGTGTGTGTGTGTGTGTGGATGTGTGTGTGTGTGAGAGAGAATGTGTGTTACACCCCACCCTTTCACTGTGTGATGGTGGTGCCCATGAAGGAACCGGTGGCCATCTTCCCACGTCCATCCGTGTTCTTGTCTTCCTGTCCCTTCAGGGATGTGTGTGGGGACATCTGCCCCACACAGTGAAATAAACGTACACACGCCTCTCGCGTTCTCTTCTTGGGGGTCTACTGGGAGAGATGCACAGCCAGCAGGGATCGCCTCTGGGATTTCAGACGCTCCCATGGGGTGGGGGTGGTGAGGATGAGGAGTGAAAGAGGGCAGGGCCTGAGAGGGTGAGCAAAGGGTGGGTGCAAGGCTGGGCCTGAGGGGAGGGGCACAGTGAGGCAAGGCCTGCGAGCACAGGGAGGAGGCTGGGGGGCGGGCCCTAAGATATGGAGGGGAGGGGCCTATGCGGGTGGGGAGGAGCAGAGGGGTGGGGTCTGAAAATGGGGTGGGGCAGAGGGCGGGGTCGGTGAAGATGGGGCTGGGAAGAGGGCAGGCTCTGTGAAGGTGGGATGGGGCAGAGGGCGGGGTCTGTATGGATGGGGAGGAGCCGATGGCAGGGCCTGTGTGAATGGGGAGGAGCCGGGGTGGGGTCTGTGGGGGATGGGAAGGAGTCGAGGGCGGGGTCTATATGGATGGGGAGGAGCTGGGGTGGAGTCTGGAGACATGGAGAGGAGCTGGGGCGGGGTCTGTGGTGGTGGAGGGGCGGAGCTAGGGCGGGGTCTGTGGGGTGGGGAGGAGCTGGGGTGGAGTCTGGAGACACGGGGAGGAGCTAGGGCGGGGTCTGTGGGGATGGGGAGGAGCTGGGGTGGAGTCTGGAGACATGGAGAGGGGCTGGGGCGGGGTCTGTGGTGGAGGGGAGGAGCTAGGGCGGGGTCTGTGGTGGA